TGGCAAGCCACGACACATCGCCTCCGCGACCTTTGACTCAATTCTGTTCCGGTCTATGCGTCGGGACGCCACATTAAAAGGGGGGGTGATGTCAGGGGAACCTCCCTTTCGGCCCGGAGACACGCCCGATTCCGGTCCGATTCCGGTTCCGACTCCGGTCCAGCCCTCCATCTCGCCTGCACAATCACCGATCCGTCAACGCCCTCCCGACAGTTGCCCTGGAACCTCGCCTGCGACGCCGCCCAAGCCTTCTGTGCCCGACAGCGGCAGCTACGGACAAGCAGTATATAGTCAGCTACCTAGCAGGCGGACCCTTAGAGTTTCTTCTCTTTGGATCGAGCCATAGGCGTTATATTTTTACAAATGCAACTAGCTACAGCTAGCATAGCAGTTGTCAAATACACTGAGCAGGGCTTTTTGTCACATATGTCACCTTCATTTAAAGGCTTATTTTATTTATTTAAGACTACTATTATGGTAATTGATGATGGAACTGATAGCATCTAGATAATGTCATCAATGTGGAAACATTTTTGATTGCCATCAAAGGTTTTGATGATTGTAACCAGCTACATCATTTCTGTCCAAATTGGGATTATTCATTATTTTCTATATATATAGTCTTTCAAATTATATAACGGGTCTTCGGCCTGAAGAAAAGGAACTTAACATTCATTTATTAAGTATAACAATTATTAATACTGATGTTATATCAAAGTTTGATCAGTCTTATAGGGGAACAGAAGACAAATGCACTAACTGCACTCAGGCCTCAGTGGAGCTAGTGGATTTGACACCAGGTTGGCTCAGTGCACTCAGTGCAGTTGTCAAATGTGCACAACTACAGGTGTTGGATCCTCCCCTGCTAGGTCAGCTTCATTTGTATTCGCTTACCAATGTTCACTCTTTGGATCCTCCCCTGCTAGGACCTTGATCTCAGGCCTCCGGGGTTGCCCTTACAGGTGTAAAGACACTGAAAATATAGTTTATACACTTTAATTTCTATAGTTCACAACTCTCATACTTATATCTATAGATATTTAGGCCTATGAGCTTGGATAGCCAACTCTGTCATAGGCCCATTGTCAGGCAATTGATGAGAGGTGAACATGTTGAAGAGTTGATATAGCTTGCCATGTGTGTTTGAAGGTTCTGGGTACATACATACATACATACACATGCGCATATATAAAATTTTTTACAAAAAAAGTTTCACAAAGATTGAATTTTTTATCCCAATTTTGATTGCATCAGTGGTAACATGACATTGATCGTGAGAATATATTACCATATATGGCAGGAGGGGGAGGGGGGGGTCCCTAGAGGGTCGGAAAAAAACTTTCCGACCCTATATCCATGTTTCGAATCTTGAACCCCCCTTGGTGTGACCTGTGACGGGCCGTGAGGCCAAGCCTACATGGGTACAGGTGCAAGCAGCCGTTGCTCGGAAACCTCACCACACACCTCCGAGACAAGCATGGAGGGCCCAACATTCCCGTTCCAATCCAACCCAACGAACTAGCTGTTCGAGAAGAGCCAGCCGCCTCCACAAGACTAATGGAGGATTTGCTGCTGGAGGGTGAGCTACGACGTGGCAGAAATACGATGCAGGTGAGCTTTTACAAAGTGTTTGCAGCAGGCTTCAACCATCCACCAGCTCTTCACTTACATCCAGACGTGCTTCTAGCTTCTAAGCGATATGACACAGAGCTCTAACGCTTTGTCCTTCCCTATTGGCTATATTTATGTGGGGACCAAGACAAATCATTAGATTGGTGGAAGGTGTGTTTATTCATGATATTTTATTCACTTTCTTATCTGCAACAGGAATTTGGACACCTTTTCCCTGTGATCTCACACTGGTAGCAAGCGCAATGGCAGTTGGCTAAGGGGGGTCCAACGGGAGTTTGAAAGCAATTTTTTTTCCTTTGTTTGAAACAAAGAAATCTTTGTCTTTCTTTCCACTCCCGTTGGGGCTCCCATTAGCAAACTGCCTTTGGGTTTGCACCCAGTGTCATGTATGGCGTGGGATTATCTGGTGATTCCCGGAACCAGCATCTCTGTCCAACACCTATTTTCCAAATCTCGGCATCTACTGTAGCATTTTAATCAATTCAGCGGTCACGCGTCACACCGCCGTTAAAATGCTGAAATTTTTTCGGCGGTCACATGCAACAGCGACAAACGCTGAATTCACCTGGTAAACTGACCATTTTTGGCTGGCGCGGCCCCTGCGGGCCGCGCCGTAATGTGCCGAAAATTTTCGGCGGTCACACTCGGAGGCCTCGGACGCTGAAAATTTCAATTCGGCGCCGATGTCACACACTTTTTGGGCGCCGAATTAGCACATACTGTAGTATTTTAATCAGTTCGTCAGTCACGCGTCACACAGGGCTCAAGCCGACGAAAATTTTTCGTCAGTCACGCATATCCGGCAGAAATTGGCCCCAAATTGGTCCATATATGGTAATTTTCCGTCCGATCCGGCGCAAATTCCCTAATGGGGAAGGCCTGACGAAAGTTTAAGTTCGTCGCACATGTCACGCAGGTTGGCAGGTGACTAATTGATTAAAATAGTACAGTATGTGTCGATAAAAGCAGAAACGATAATAGAAGCTATGCTGACAAAAAATGTGGATCAAGGCTGGGTTTTTTCCAAAATTATAAGTAGTCAAAAAGTACTGTTTACTGTGGTGAACTGACTAGTGAGACATACTAGGAAGTGAGACACAGCTTTCCCACAGCTCGATTAGCATTAAAATTTGGGAGAACATGTCTTCTGGCGTGCTGAGTATATCCTCAAATTTTGATAGCATTTGAACAACTACACCACACCAAATTAAAAAATTTGTTTAGATTAAAAAAATGTCACAATGTAAAACTTGTCAGAAAGTGCGCGGTGCTGCCAGTGTTAGCTATTCATCCAACGGGATAGGTTGAAATTTGGTCGAGACATTCATAGTACATGGCCGGATATCCCACAAGCTTTATTTGGACCATAGATATGCGGTAGGATGTACTATTCCTGTTTGTCTCACTTCCAGGTATGTTCCTGATATGGAAACTAAAAGTAACACCCTCTATCTGCACATTGAATGGGAAAGGAAGTCTGATCTTTTAGGAGCAACTACTAGACCCTACTCGGCCCTGGATTACCAAGTTTCAAGGGCAGAAAGCTACCTATTGCCTCAGACCATCCATTCTAAAAAATTGTCTCGCTAGTCAGTTCACTATAGTATACACTATTTTAAACATTTAAATCCATTTATATTTGTGTTTCCATTTTATTTAAGACTTGGACAAATGGAAATAAAATAGTTGGAGCCCGATGTACATGTCACGCACCTTTGGGGGTGACGAACTGAATAAAATAGTACAGTAAGTAGTATGATAAACTGTGGCCAGCATCTCGCTGTCCGAAATTGAATGCTGCTTTGCGGGAAGCAGTGAGGCCCCCTCGCAAAGGGTTCGAGACAGGTGGTCGGCTGAAAATTTCGCAAATTTTTATTTTGTACAGGTAACAGCCCAGGGCCAGGCTGTGTGGATGCCATGTCTCTTGAACCGATTTCCGACGCGTGCTTACAGCATCGTGGAGCCATCATCGCATCAGCACGGGCAACGTGACTAATCACCATCATCTTGTCAACAATGTCCATGTTCGCCAGCGCGGGACGACGATTCTGGCACGGGCGCGCCGCTTCTGCGACAGGTTCGAGTCAACGTCGCCGCGCGGGGTAAAAAGGGGATCCTGAACAGTCCAGGGGGTACCTGGCTCGAACCCATGCGACGGGACTCGTCGAGTAGTGCTGGCCAAATATGATTATATTATTTTATGGGCATAATATATTATAATCATATCATATTCAGAGCTCCAACCCAATAATATATTTGTAGTATAATATAATCATATTCGGCTAGAAAATATGAATATGTTATGAATATATTCAACTATAATCTAGTATGCATATCTCTTGATATGTTTGATATATTTGCTGCTAGAAAAAAGAATCAAAAACATAAAATAGATACTGGATTGTAGGGCAACTTCCTTTTGGGCCTCTCTAATTCCAGCCTGGGTTACATAGGACTCTCAAAATACAATCAGGGGCATTGCCACTAGTATTAGGTTAGCCAGTAGCCACTTGATCAGAGGTCCTATACTATGTTTAATAGGGTCAACCCAAAGTGATCACTCCTGACACCTGTTCCTACGAAGAGTAATGTATGAATCACCATATATAACAGATAATATGTGACATTTATCAGAAGTAGGGCTAACTTAGACTAAGATTAGTACTATGACTAAGTAGATGGACTGAGAAAATAGCTGTAATCATCCACCTTACTATAGTTGAATATTCTGTGACTATAATATAGTATAGTCATAATATAATATAATATATTCAAACATAATCATATTCAAGTGATCCACGAAGGACATCATATATTCATAATATTCTGAATATATTCAATATTTAATCAAGCATAATATAATTCTGGCCAGCACTATCGTCGAGCTAGTGTGCTTCGTGGCCGCCAGCCTGGGGATGGCAGGATGGCGCATGGTAACGCACACGCCGGCTGCCAGGCAGTGAAGGTCGGGGAGACACGTACGTCGTTCGCTGTGCAGTGTGTCAAGGACAAAGAAATGACTGATACATCCTGTTGTAGCGCATCAAATTCACACAGGCAAAAAGACATTTCGTCAAAGAACGTTTTTCATTACCTGTCTCGAACCCCGTGCGGACGGGACCTTGGCCGCTCACCGGTGCGCAGCGGGACAGCGGGTGGTTGCGCGCTGACGAGTCAAGAGCAACGCAGAAGTTAGCGGGTGAAATCGGGGCACCGAAATGATATGGTGGAGAGACTGGAGGGTATCAAGCGTACGTCCATTCGTCTACTCCCGCATTATGGATCGTGACAATCATACTAGTAGCGTCTACAAATAGAAGGAAAGGTGCATAAGAGAGCGTTTATTACCAATTCGAACACATTTTCTCTCAAATCGCCATCACCGTCCACTCGCCCAACACCTTCCCCGAGTCCCGCTTCTCCGCGCGCACGCGCACGGACCCGGCGCCTTGTTGGTGGTCCACCGTGATCGCGATTGGCTCGGGCGTGAGCCGCCACGCGCCGAGGTCCTGGCCCGACTGGGCGTCGTCGTCCGAGCTAGACTCCGCGTTGAGGTCGAGCCAGCGGAGCTCGGCGGGCAGGCGGTGGGCCGAGTAGGGCGATGGCGACGGCCCAGGAGAAGGCGAGAACGACGGGCCGAGGCTGGGCGGGCGCCACTGCGGGCTATCGGGGGAGAACGAGCGCACGAAAGCAGGGGAAGCTGAGAGCGATCGGCGGTGGGAGAGCAGGGAGAGTGAGTCGGCGCGGGGGAGGGGAAGGCTGGCGGTAGAGGACACAGGCGAGATCCCGCCGAACGCGATCGTGCTGATCGTGATGGTGGAAGAGGCGCGCTGTAGATGCCAGGGGGCAGTGGGAACGGGAAGATCCAGCGCGTCGAAGTCCAGAGAGAAGAGAGAGTTGCGCGGGGCGAAGGTCATGCCGTGGTCTAAGTCATCGTGATCATCGGAGGGGGAGGGAGATCGTGGCGGCCAGCCGAAGATTATCGAGTCGTCTTCCACTAGTGAGGGCGAATGCGAAGGAGAGTTGGAGTTGGAATGGGCGAATGTGATGGGCTCCAGTGGGCGGTCGTTGTCTTCATCGGTCGGGGATGCGGGATTGGCGAACATTATCGGCCCCAACGAGTCCATTGACGCGGCAGAGGAGCTTCGCGGATGCGCAAACGTGATGTCTTCCATCTCCTCGTCCTCGCTGGTGCTAGGGATAGACGCCGGGGCACTCGATGGGGATCCCGGGGAGCCCATGCGCCTCCGGACGGCAAACGTGATCTCCTCTAACTCTGACTCGTCGTCTGTCCGCTCCTCATCGGGCGAAGCGTTCCTTCCAGGCACCGCGAACGCCATCTCCTCCAGCTCCTCGTTGTCATCATCCGCCGTCACCACCCTTCCCATCTCTCTCCCCTTTGCCATCGCCACGACATCATGCACATCCAGCTCATCCACATTAATTGCTGGTGCTCTGGGACCTCTCCTTGCCCACTGGCCCAGCGGCGCCGGCAGCGCGGGCGGGGGAAACGGCGGGAGGGGCTTGTTCATCGCTGGCATCGGAGGCGGGCCGCTGCCCGTGCTCCTGCTCGACGTAGACACAGAGGAGCCCGTGCTCTTCTTTCTTCCAAGGCGGAAGAACGCGGACACCGGCGACGTCGGCGACTGCGGCTCGTCCTTCGCTCGTTGGGACGATTTCCGATTTAAAGGCGGGAGCGGGCGGGGTGGCGGCGCTCGGGGGCCGTCGAAGGCGACGTACATCGACACGGGCGAGCGTGGGCGGCGCTTCGGCTGCATGCCCGGGTGGTGGGCGGGTCCAAGGGACGCACGTCTCGCAATCCCATCGCAAAGAAAAGAAGTGCGAGGCTCGGAGCGAAGTCCGCGCGTCTGGCTTCTGCGGGTGATACCGCCGCGCTGTGTGCGGTGCAGATCATGATGCTAATGTCCACGATCAGCTTCGCGGGCTTCTTCTGGGGATGTCCGAGGGCGGATGGGTATCTGGATCGGGACGGCGGGCCGCAGGCCGGGGATGCAAGGATTGATAGCGGGAGGCCTCGTCGACCGGTTGCATCGCCAGCTGTCTGCCTCCGCCGCCGCCACCTGCCGCGGGAAGGAACCTCACACACACGGTTCGAGACAGCATGCCTGCAAGGCCGCGTTGGATTTCTTTTTCACCAGGGAACGATGTTCGACCAGTACGCTGTTCGATACGAGCGGACACATTGCGCCTCGGCCCGGCCTACCCAACCACCGATACTGACCCAGTAACCCTACAAGGATTGATAAACAATCCAATATGAAGATGGTAAATCAAGTTTAACACTGTTAATTAATACAATATGTGCTACAATACTACCAGACTGGAAAATTCCTGTTAAACATATATGAGTTCAACAGAAACAGAGTGAGCAGGCTGACTTACCAAGGGAAAGGAGAATTTAACACATTTAACTAGTTAAACACAGATCAGTAATAATCGGGTTCCAAACTCGAGCTCAAACTTACCCACCTGGAGTTTCCTGTTAAACAACACATTAAACCAGCACTGCAACCCTTATGAGCTTGATAAACACAAATGATAGAATAATATAGTGCTGGCCAAATATAATTATATTATTTTATGGGCATAATATATTATAATCATATCATATTCAGAGCTCCAACCCAATAATATATTTGTAGTATAATATAATCATATTCAGCTGTGAAATATGAATATGTTATGAATATATTCAACTATAATCTAGTATGCATATCTCTTGATATGTTTGACATATTTGCTGTTAGAAAAAGGAATCAAAAACATAAAATACATGCTGGATTGTCAGTGCAACTTCCTTTTGGGCCTCTCTGGGTTACATAGGACTCTCAAAATACAATCAGGGGCATTGTCACTAGTCTTAGGTTAGCCAGTAGATACTTGATCAGAGGTCCTACACTATGTTTAATAGGTCAACCCAAAGTGATCACTCCTGACATTTGTTCCTACTAAGGGTAATGTATGAATCACCATATATAATAGATAATATGTGACATTTATCAGAAGTAGGGCTTACTCAGACTAAGATTAGTACTATGACTGAGTACATAGACTGAGAAAATAGCTGTAATCATCTACCTTACTATAGTTGAATATTCTGCAACTATAATATAGTATAGTCATAATATAATATAATATATTCAAACATAATCATATTCAAGTGATCCACAAAGTGCATAATATATTCATAATATTCTGAATATATTCAATATTTAATCAAGCATAATATAATTCTGGCCAGCACTAGAATAATACCCCATCAAGTTTTGCCCGCCGGCGCGCCCTTGACAGGTCCGAGTACACGCGGAAGCGGCGGCGGCCGGGGTGCTCGGCGTCGACTTGATTTTCGGGGCCCATCGATATCAGTTTGTATCCTGCAAAACGATCAGTAATGAAGCCAAATGGAAGTATGGTGACTTACACCGCCGGCCCAGGAAGCGGAACAACTCGTGCGCGTTTTGCTGGCTTGCTGGTGACCAGTGAATTGTCATCGGTTTCGCCAGCCTTGCGCTTCGTAAGCACCTTTCGAGGCCGGGCCGGCGCCGGCGTAACAACAGCAGTGCTCGCTGGCAGCGGGGCGATTTCCGCCGGTTTCTGAATGAAGGGGGCCTGTGCGAGTGCCCCAGTGGGAGACGAGGGTCGTGAAGGGGGTGTCGAAGGTGATAGTAACGGGGGCTGGTTTATGGGCAGCCCGAGCGGCGGTTTGGAAGCACTGGCAGCGGCTGCCGACTTGCCCTTGGGGTTCCCCACTGGCAGAGCGGCCAACGTGGACGTGGGAAGCACCACTGCTGGCGATGCGGAACGCGAGGATGGTGGGGTGGGTACATTCACGTCGTCAAGCGGCGGCGGAGCGGCTGCCGACTTGCCCTTGGGCTTCCGCAGAGCAGCTAATGTGGACCGTGACGCGGGAAGCACCAGTGCTGGCGAGGCGGAACGCGAGGATGGTGGGGTGGGTACATTCGGGTCGTCAAGCGGCGGCGGCGGCGGCGGCAGAGGTAGAACTAAGGAGAAGAGGGAGTTGTCGACGAGTAGAGCGCCATCCGAGTCGATAGGTGGACTCGGAGTTGGAGATGGTGCCCGCGACGGAGGCGGGGTTGCAACGACGACGGCCGGATGATCTGGAGCCGGCAATATAGCTTGCGCAGGCTGCAGAGACGTTACGGACAGGGGAATGTCTGTCGTCTGGGTAGTCGTTGAATTTCCTAGAGCTTGTCAGAGGCCGCCGGACGAGGAAATAAACAAGAGAACTTACTCGGCAGTATCTCATCGGCCCATTCCGCAAAAGGAATGCCGAGATCCCGTTCCAGCCGCTCGCCGTTGAAGCGCGAGGTGCGGTTGTGTTTGCTATGCCCTTCGATTCTAACATATGATGCGTCAGTAGGTCCCGCCAGCGCCACGGAGATTGAATCACTTACGCGCCAGCAACCAAGTTGTCGCCATCTGGATCACGGAACGCATAGAGCAACAGCATCTCCGCGTCCCCCAGACGACCGTTTTGACACAGATCCCGAAGTGCAATGCGCATTTCCAGCGTAAAGTCCGCTTGATTTCTGAGGCGGAAATATCAGCGCCGCATGGGGATGTACAGAATAGCGGAAAGCGACCTACTTTGATCTATCATGCACCAGGGCATCTGCCTGAGTGTCCCAGCTTCTCCTCTCGTCGTCAGATAGAGCCCCCCACAGGTCCTTCAGGACCTTCTGATAGACAGGTCGACCAGGCTTAGTGCTGGCCAAATATGATTATATTATTTTATTGCCATAATATATTATAATCATATCATATTCAAAGCTCCAACACAATAATATATTTGTAGTATAATATAATCATATTCAGTTGCAAAATATGAATATGTTATGAATATATTCAACTATAATCTAGTATGCATATTCCATGATATATTTGACATATTTGCTGGTAAAAAAAAATTAAAAACATAAGATAGATGCTGGATTGTCAGGGCAACTTCCTTTTGGGCCTCTATAATACCAGCCTTGCATACATAGGACCCTTAAAATACAATTAGGGGCATTGCCACTAGTGTTAGGTTGGCCAGTAGACACTTGATCAGGGGTTCTATACTATGTTTAATAGGGTCAACCCAAAGTGATTGCTTCTGACACTTGTTCCTACTAGGAGCAATGCATGAATCACCATATATAATAGATAATATGTGACATTTGTCAAAAGTAGGGCTAACTCAGACTAAGATTAGTACTATGACTCAGCAGATGGACTGAGAAAATAGCTGTGATCATCCACCTGACTATAGTTGAATATTCTGTGACTATAATTATAGTATAATCATAATATAACATAATATATTCAAACATAATCATATTCAAGTGATCCACCAAGGGCATAATATATTCATAATATTCTGAATATATTCAATATTTAATCAACCATAATATAATTCTGGCCAGCACTAACCAGGCTTGTTGGTAGCATGTCCACGCAAGACTGCCGATATGTCGTCTTTTTTCGAGGCCGCGAAGAGCTGCCGCCCAGAGAGGGGTAAGGCGGACAGAATGGTCGACTTGGATGGGCTTGCTGGAGTTTCGGACGGTGCTCGAATACCGACACGGCGCCAGACATGCCAGCGGTAGTTTGTGAACTTGCGTACAATTTTCTGCGCCATGTCAGCTTGTGTAGCTTTGGAAGCGAAATGGACACAAGTACGCACCTCAAACCACTCTTTGCGCGTGAATTCGTCGTCAAGTCCCGCAAATATTGGCTGCTCTAGGATTTTTGACGCGGTTTTTTGCTTCCATCGTGTTTGGTCCTTGCCCTCCAGTCCACGGTCGAGTTGAGCACTAAATTCAGCGAAGAATGTTTCGATATAGGCGTCCTGCTCGGCGGAAAATGGACTCTTTCGCATAGCGGAGTAGGTGGAAGCAGAGACAGGTGGTAGTCGAAAGCAAAGGTGGGCTATTGCACCCGGGTTTCGGGTTTCGGGACTTCGGCAAGCTTCGGAGATGTGACATCATGATGCTTGTACCACGTCTTCATCCTGTCTGCGTCTGCAGCTTATTCGGATGGTGCGCGACCGAATAACCGCCATGCTTAATACAAAGTTCCAGGTTGATGCGCCAAGTCTGTCATGAAACCATTTCATGACGCAACTTCAAGTTGCAAAATGAGCTACACAGTTCGCCTCCGCTGCTCCTCAAACCATTTCGTCTTTCACAACTTGAACCCATTCAGCGGCTCTGCCTTGTTATACACGATGAAGAAACAAGCCCCATCGTCGACGTCAGATGATGAGATCGATGATCTATGTGTCAGCCGACGTTGCTTGACTTTCACCGCATCGACGTGGCAGCTTAAAACGCGGTTAAACATGGATAAACTCCTCCAACTCGCTGTCCACGCTCTTTTAATTCTCACTCTCTGTCTCTACACGCGAAACCTACCTCAAAATGCCAAAGGCTCCGTCAAAAACGTCTCCCACTCGTCGTCTCCCTACTCTGCCATATCGGATGGCCTTTGGCCCCGGCCCGCAACTGGCAACTGGCAGTCGCATTTCGACATCCCCACTCCCGCCCTCTTCTCCGCCGACTGAATCGTCGTCCTCGGGCCCTTCTACTCCATCGAGCAACTTGATCTCAAGCACTGCCGTGGCTCGTCACGCTGCGCGTTCTGACTCGGAATCCCGTCAGAAGCGCAAAGGCCCTCTGACGCTGCGCCGTGTGGCGTCCACGTCTTCTGCCCACTCTACTGGAACATCTCCGAGCTCAAGTCCACTTGCGTCCCAGCTGCGTGCGCGAAACTTCCGGTATGCCCGGCTGTTATGCTGACCGCTAATTGGACTCTGACATATAATAGACGTGCGCGACTTGAAGAGATCGGCCTGGACTATGCGGCTGTTACCCTACGCACACAGAACAATGCGGTCGCCCGAATTGTAACGGAAGTCGAACGCGAATTGGGACCGTTCTCGCCGCCAACGGAGTATACAGGGACCGCAGCTGAGGCGTGTGTTAAGGAAGGCCATCGGCTCGGGACTCCATTCCGTAGTGTGGGCAAAACTACCCGGGGCGAGCGTCGGCGGCACATTCGTCATTGTAAGTGGCGCTACTAGTATGCATATTTGTGCTCTAATTGACGTTCGCGATTCAGTGTACAGACGCCTCTCACACGGCTGAAACACGCTTGCGCTCCGTTGATCGTGTAGTCCCAACTCTCTACCTAGTCAACCGACGCATTCGCGAATTGGTCGACACCATCCATGCAATTAAGGCATTCAATCCTGCCAGATCATCTGGAAAAATTTGGTTACCAATGTCGGGATATAGTACCAGGATAGCTCGCGTAGCCTCGTTGCCAACCCCCCAGAATACTTCCCGTGTTGCTGTCGGCCAAGGCTATAGAGTGCAATCGCAAGCAACGGTGATCAAATATCAATCAATATATCTCAATGTAGATCAATTGCGCCGTAGACAACATTGTACAATAGTGCTCGGATAGATATAAGCTCAAGTTATAGACAGTCCAAGTAAGGAATAAAACAGAATAAATAAATCAAAAAGAGAACAATAAACAATCCAGTAATATCTAGCCACTGCTCGGGCCTTGGCCGACTATCCCGCTCTGCCCGTGCTGGTACTCTTGAATAGCCGCCATAATATCAGCATCATCAATCTGAGAGACGACCGAAGAGGCAATAGGGTTCGCACCCGAATGGTATCTGGGGAAACTGTCAGATAAATCCAGTCAGAAAAGGAAGACATACCGGCCGTTATCGTACAAACCGCGGCGGATGTTGTCGAGGATGCCATATTGGGCGGTGTGCTGCTCGAACTTCTTGAGTGACATGATGTGGCCTTGATACACGGTGCGATAGTCATTGGCGGTGAAGGGGATGGGGGTTTGGGTTCCTGTAAGCCATTCGTCTATACAGTTCTCAATCTAGCCATATGAGTTAGCTCGGATATACTTATCGCTGGGGACAACATACCACAGTTAGAAGAAAAGCCATCGCAGGGATGGGCAGGGGACTGAAGCGGTCTGGGAAACTTGGCCCTTCGTCTCGTCGATTAGCAAACCAGAGTTCGTTGGCCGCCTTTTGGAGTAAGTCAGTCTGGTACATGCCAGTCTTGTTGATAGGGTCCTAGAAACAATTAGTCAATGGTCGTACACAGAATACAAAAGTACCTTGAAGATGAACCCGTTGGAAGACTTGAGTGTATGGGCTTGAGTGTTGTTGGCTTTGATAGTGATTGGGTTATGACCGGATTGGAAGCATGCAGTTGCGACAATGGGCGAAATCTTGGTCTTGGCTTCGCCGCGAAGATGGGAGAGGCGATTGAGAAGCTGTAAATGAATGAATACCATGGCAAGGGAAGATAAACGGTGTACCAGTTTCGTCTCCTGCTGTGTAATTATCACAGTACCACCCAATTCCTCCTCTGCCTTGGCAGTCAACTTTTCAATCCATTCCAACGCTGCTACCCTATCCACAAAGACATTCTCGACACTTGCTTCGATGCGGAGGCCAGCGATGATATGCTTGAGATATTCATGTTTGGTTGGTGGTGAGTCCTTGATTGCGTGTTTGGCGCGATGACCAGAGGCCGTTAAGCGTGCCTCGGGGAGGGAATGGAGCTCGCTTTCGAGGTCTCCATCAAGTTCGGGGTCGAATTGGGTGTAGGCACGTTTCCGAGTGGGAATGGGAGAGTGAGGCAGGTTGTTGACATGGCTTTCGCCAAGGCGAAGATTGAGCGTCATTGGACCAATGGGTTCGCCTGTGTATGGGCTCCTAACAACCTGCAAGACGCCTTGGTTATTCAATCACAAAGATAGAGGAACAGAAAACATACCGAGGGCTGTGAGGGTGATGACTCTATACGATACTGGGACTGCGGCTGCAGCGAGTGCTCTAGAGACCCGCCAGATAGATGCTGACCACCAAATGAAGGCGGCGAGCGAGCGGCGTCAAAGCCAAGCCGGCTCGACGACAGTGGCTCCTGACGGCGGAAGTCTGGCAAGCCTGATACATAACCCAAGTCAAGCGGGTCATCGTTGGTGGAGAAACCCTGCTGGTGGTGGTCAAACGAGAGGTCGGAGTCGTCACGATATGGCATGTGGAGCCTGTCGTCATTGGTGACGTAGCCATTGCCACCGCCAGAGAAGTGTTGCTCGTTGGTGGGTACACGTTGAGCAGCAGGGTGAAGATGGCGAGCAGGAGGGTTACTGTGGGGAGAGCTACGCTGGGTTTGCTTGCGAGCGCTGTCGTGGTCTGGACCAAGTCCCGTAGCAACATGACCGTGATGCGCGTTGTCAGGGGGAATCAGACGCGCACTAGGAATTGCAGTGGTGAGTGAGGTAGGAGGAACACGCCCATTGCGTTGAGCAAGAGTCGTTAGGGTCTTGGGTTTCGAAGGTACGATGTGGTTCGACAGCTGGAATTTGTCAGCTTGGTAGTCCAAACAGGAGTAATGAGAATGCCCACAAAATTGTCGTCGATAGGTCCACGAGAATCTTCTGCAGGTTCGCCAGCAGCCTTGCGAGCAGCACGATCAAGACGAGCCTGTCGTTGAGCAGCTGCAGAATCTGCATTGTTGACTGAGCACTGTTAGTGAGGACAAGAAGGAAGGTAACGATGGTGGCGCACTGAGTTGCTGCTGCTTCTCGCTAACACGCCGTTCTCGAGGGAGCGAGATAGTGCCTTCATCATCTTCATCGTCTTCCGTAACGTGGGTGGAGTGGTAGTCTTCGTCGTGGTCACTTTCATGCTGGCCATTGAGGTACTTGTTGTTCTTGGCAGCGGCTGCAAGCACAATATCAGAGCGAGGAGGGAAACCAGACAAAAGACTAACCACGCTGAGGTCGGGCGATGGCTACATTGGCCGCTGGGAGACTTTGAGTAGAGGCGCGGCCACGAGGGCCAGAAGAGGAGATAGTGTTGGAGCTGGTGTTTCTAGCCATGAAAGTTAACAGAAATGCGTCAAGGGTGTATTGGGGTAAACGTACAGCGTGTCCCGCGCTTTTATAGTGACGCGTCGGTTTGTTGTTGTTTATACATGGTTGTTGAGAGCAAGAGGCGCGTTTGTTGATCAACAAACGCGCCTTTGCAAGTCATGCCCTCTTCGACGATCGGGCACCGCATGTTTCAGGGTCTACGAAAGGGGGAAGTAATCAGCATTTTGATCCCCTCTTGCTCTCAGAATGGCCCCTCACCGTTGCCCTTACTGCAAGCGCCTGCTGAAAAGCTTCTCTGGTGTAGCCCACCATGTTGCGCTGTCCGCAGAATGTCGTAAGGCTGAGGCGGCAAAGATTCGCGGCCGCCGTCAGCGGGTTGCTGAGCCCGTAATGGCGGTGGACGAGACAGAAGATGGTCTGACTCCACCCATGCCGCCAAACCTCGATAACCCGGCCGATATGGCTGACCACTTCCCACTTCCCCTTCGCAGTCCTACCCCCATTCCTGCCCAGCCCATCCCACGACCCCAGCATGCCTCCGTCGAAGAGGTCATGGATCAAGATGACCCCGAGAACCTCAAACGTTTTGTCCTACCATTCATCGACCCAGTGACAGGAAAGAGTGGTGTCGCGGGCCAGCCCGCTGCGACAGGAACAAACAGCGTTTGAGCGTCTTCGAGATAAGCTCAAGCACCGAGGAGAGTCCAAGTATTCCCCGTTTGTAGACGATGAAGAATGGGAGCTGGCGGAGTGGTTGACGCGGCGAGTAAACCAGACAGCGACAGACGAATTCATGAATCTAAAGAGTGTGAGTTTTTAAGCCACTATACATTCCAGCGAAACTTACCTCTCTTCAGACACAGAAACAGAAGTTTTCCTTCCACAACAACCGCTCCTTCTTGCAGAAGGTCGACAGTCTTCCCACCGGCCCCGACTGGACTTGTCATGTTGTTACTATTACGGGTGACCGTGTCGACGAGAATGGCGAGAAGATGAAAGAGGAGGCAGAGCTGTGGATTCGGAATCCAGTGGACTGTATTCGCGAGATTATTGGCAATCCAGCACTCAAAAATCACACGGCATACGCACCAGAAAGAGTCTATTCGACCAACCCAGCCAGCGAGGATGATCGTGTTATTGATGAATCGTGGACGGCTGACGAATGGTATAATCTTCAGGTTTGTGGGCCATCTTTTCGAGAGTTTGCAGGTAGCTGAATAGACCAGGAGCGTTTGCCGGCTTGCGTCGCTTTAAGAAGGGAATCTCTGGCGTGTCGCAGTGGATGGGGAAGGAATACAAGGAGATGGAGCGAGTGCTAGTGGGAGTTATGACCGGAGCTGTCGAGGCTCCGGTTCTCACAGTCGTCAAATCGCTTGTCGACTTCATCTACTATGCCTCACTCCAATCTCACACCAAACGGACTCTTGATGCTCTCCAGCATGCCCTCGACATATTCCATTCTCACAAGCAAGTCATCATTGACCACGGCATTCGCGACCACTTCAATATCCCAAAAATTCACTCGATGCAGCATTACGTGGAAGCTATTCGTCGGCTAGGAAGCTGCGACGGCTTCAATACTGAATCTCCTGAACGACTTCACATTGATTTCGCAAAAAATGCATACAACGCATCAAATGGAAAGGACTACACGGAGCAGATGACTGTGTGGCTTCAGCGTCGAGAGGCCATTGCCCTCCGCTCACGTTTCATCCTCTGGTATGACTCCCACGAATTACCGCCCCAGGCTGCCAGTTCAAAAGCCCCTCTTCCGACGGCTGACAGTATCGATGAAGACGCTCGACTTACCAGCAATGAACCTGAGATGGTTGGGCAAATCACATCTGGCTCTCGTCCAACCACCACCTATGCCATCGCCAAGTCCCCTCCAGCCCCACATCGTACAGTCGCTAGACTCGAGGCAGAATATGGTATATCCGACTTCGTTGCTGTCTTGACCGCCTTCCTGCGTCAAAACTTCCTTTCCCTTCCTCTCCTACCCAGCTCTTTCGACTTCTACGATATCTTTCACCAGATCAAGATCTCCCTCCCACGTAATCGCTATCTGAGTCCCAAGCAACGTGCTCTACGAATTCGTGCAGTACCAGCCGCACCCAATGTTGGCAGGAAGGAGGGTGCTCCTGCATCCTTTGATACCGCTCTTGTCATTGCCAACCCCGCCCGAATATCGTCCATCCTCGGGTCTCGCAGGTCTGTGTTTTCCCTTTTTTTTTCACCGTTTGGCTTGATGCTGACCAGTTCCAGGGCTTCAGCCGGCGCGAATACGTCTCATATTTCGTCTTCCCCCACATCTCGGCACATACTCCCACCCGCTCGCATTCATCGAATGGTACACGCCTCTCAATGGGCCCGACCCTGTCTCGGGCATGTACACGACTCGTCTATCGACACAGAACCACCTCCCGAACACCGCAGTTATCTCCGTTGACCGCATTGTGCGGTCCTGTCATCTAATGGGCCAAATGCGACGTGTCCGTGACCCAAAATGGACCGCTTTCAATGTCCTTGACAAAGCTACAACATTCTATATTAACCCATACATACATTATGATACTTTTACACGACAAAAATTAGTTGCTTGAAGTAATGAAAGTTGGTATACACTACACAGGGAAGCCCAAACGGACAACTTGAAGACAAGTAATTTACCTACTAGGCTACCGAGTATTCCTATCTATAGTACCAATACACATTCCTCTGTGAGTAATCGCAAGCACCATTGAGCTGGAGAGTCAATATAGTGCACGCAATTGCATTGAATGGTTGCTATATAAGGCAATGATGCAATGGTGGCTATATTTCATCAACGTCGATCTACGCGGGCTATATCAGTCTACACTGGCAATATTGTCCTGGCATGTAGCTACTGTCCCCAGGATTTTTGCAGATGATCGTCAACGGGACACGGCGGTGAGCTATTTTCTCAGCTTTATTCCTTCTTGGGTCTGATTGCATCCTCAGATGCGAGCATCAACAACGGAGTATCGACAGCAGGCCAAGCATTGGTGGAAATACCATCAGTCGGTAGCAAGGGGCCGAGTAGGCGGACACGCCGGCTCAACCGCAATGCCGATGAAGTTGCACCACCGCTGGCGAAAGTAGAGCCCGATTACGAGCGAGACCAGGGGCGTGATCTCCAGCGGCTGGCATCATCTCCAGCGCTTCCCGCTTGCGCCACGGAGGATGATTGCAGTGATTATATTGCCGCCTCTCCCGTGCTCACACGCAACGCACTCCCAGATGTTGTTTACCACGCAAATGGTGATATTGCGCCAGCTGGCCTTACCTGGCGAGACGATATTGCCGATCTGGGGGATAATGTTACAACATTTCGTTTGCCAGGCTCCCGCACCATACAGTTCACAACTACAAGTCAAACTGAATCAAGAACCACAATATCCAGCATATCAACTCCAGCAGCAAGTTCTTCAAGATCAGAGGCAATCCAGCCATCTCTACCACCAGAAGACATTGAAATGGGAAACCCAGAGGAAGAAGAACCAGCTGATGAGCCCAATCAAGCCCCCAAAAGGGTTGAGTTTCTCACTAGGATATATATATATTTACTAAAATCAAACAATAATAGCGTGCACAGCTACTACAGGATTTTGAAGAGCACTTTGAACAGATTACTAGATTACTACTGGAGCAAGAAGCAGATACAGAATCAGGGAACCCATGTGCCTGTGGGCAACCAAACTCATCATGCACTGTACAGTGCCATGACTGTATAGGATACAAAATTACATGCAGCAAGTGCTTTGTTGCTGCCCATCACAATAATCCTTTTCACTGGGCTGAGGTCTGGGATGAGCAACAGGGCTTCTTTGTCAGGCATGACATTTCAAAGCTAGGATTTGTATTACAACTAGGTCACAAATCTGGCAGCTGTGTAGCTCCTACAGGAGAGCGTCTTTTTACAGTTGTTGACTCAAATGGAGTGCATTCTACAAGAGTTGCTTTTTGTGGTTGTCAAGAGCAACCTCCAAATAAACTTCAACAACTTCTACGGCATGGACTCTTCCCAGCTACTACACGGGAACCAACTACAGCTTTCACCATAACAACTCTGAAACAGTTTCAGCTACATAACTTTGAATCTAAAAAATCAGCATATGATTATCTAAAGGCAATTCGTCGTCTGTCAGATAACTCATTCACAGCTGATGTTCCTGTAAGTTTATAATTATCTATAAGTTTTGTTTTGCTAAGAGTGTTATAGAATCCCTATGCTGCCTTTCTACGTGTTGTTAGGATTTTCAACTACCTCACACTTCAAAAGCGCTCTGGTCAAAGTCATGGAATTGATTCCATCCTTCCATTCCGTCCTGCAGGAAATTTACTAGTATGGTGCCCTGCCTGTCCTCAGCCAGGTTTCAATCCTGACCCAAATGTCACTTCAACCCCTGCAAATCTAAGGTAAGGCATAGTTATAGCTGCAAAATATTCTTAGCAATCACAGTCATCTTAATCAGATCCAAAGAACTCTGGATGGTAACTTCCAGTGCAATCAGTTCAACAAAAACACAGATCCAGATGATGTCTCCTTGTGTGCAGGAGCTGCATATTTTCCTTTGGAATCAGAATATAAGGAATATCTCAGTAAGATTCCTTTGACCAAGGAGGTAAGAAATCACATAATACTTCAACAGAGAAAATAACTCCTAACAGAAATCAAATTGCAATTATCTTTCAGCAGTGAATAAGCAAGACAAAAAGAAATTTAAAAACATGGCTGTCACAGGCACTGTCAATTGTCAATGCAGTCATGTTTTCATCCTAACTACAGTGGATCTGCATAATGGAGAAAGGTAGATGAAATCTGTTGTCTTAGAGTATTAATTCATATTAACAGATATGGAAATACTGATAAAGCTTTGGCTAAGGCACTTGAACAATGGTGCTCTAGCAATCACAATGAATTCAAGGTCATCTTGAAATTGGAGATAGAAGACATAGACCAAGTGGTCACTTATGATGTTGCCTGTGAATATCGGATATATCTCCATGATCGCTTTAAACAGAATTTTCCACATCTACTGTATCTAGTAGATTGCATACGCTGGGGGGTTCCTGCACTTCATGTCCAGGGTCATCAAGAGTCCTGCACCTACTTATATGGTACTGCATACATGGATAATGTAGGGCATTTCCATGGAGAATCAGCAGAGCATTACTGGCCTGAAGCAAATCAGGTTGGTGCCCACACAAGACAAATGAACCTAGGCCATAGGCAGGACACACTGATCAACCATCATGGAGACTGGAACTGGAAAAAAACTATGATACTAGATAGGCTTGCCAACTTTTTGTCAGTCTTTACTGATTTTGGAATTTCAGCATCAACTCTGGCAGAAGACCTTAGCCTAGCCAAGACCAATTATGAGCAGAAACGAGCACATCTCATTGGGCTCAGTGCTTCATTCAAAGAACAGGTTGCAAAATGGCAACTAATTCCTCGCACATCTACTTTAGATGGAAAGGATCTCCAAAGTGTGTATAGACACAACTCAACAAAAGGTATGTTGTTTATCTCTCTCATTATCCTAATAATATGTGTTTTAGTGCCATCCCAGCAGGCTATCTTCCAAAAATTAATCAAGGATGATAATAACTTTGCACGGTCAACAATTGCCAAAGGAAAGGTTGCAAACTTCATGGATGAAGGCTTGAAAATTGAGGAGTTACAGTAAGTATATGTTTAAAAAAAAGTTATAAATATTTATTGGTTTAACTATTTAGGCGTGAACTAATAGCCTTGATTCTGGATAAAGAAGAGCATGATCTTGTAGCAAGACAAAAGGAAATTGCAAGCAGGACTAACAAGCTTCAAACACGGTTGCAGGCATGGCGTAAACTGCAGAAGGATATCATGCCAATGATTGGAAATTTTGTGGCTACTCAGGCACTGGTCTCCCCTCCCATTCAACAAGAGAAGCTTTTCCTGCCATCTTCATTCACAACAGCAGCACAGAGACTGTAATTAGACCTGGATGATTTAGCTGCTGAAGAGTCTATCTCGAGAGAAGGTCAAGGATTTGATGCTCTGAGGGCACTGCAAAACAATGTGAAAGCTGTTAATGCACTTCGTGCAGACAAATCAAAAAATGATCGTGGACAAAAGCAAAATACACGATCACTTAATCAGGTTAGGGAAGCCTTGAAGAGGAGAGAGCGCCACAAAGCCTCCTTAACTGCAGCACGCAATGCTCAAATTATTCTCTGTGGATCTAGCACATTTCCAGTCCTTACTGATGATGATCTTTACATGAAGCCAATTATGGATAAGCGGCGACTTGGAGATTCCAAGCGTTTAGATGGGGCACTATGGACTGCATTAGCTAAACAAGTACCAGAAGAGGATATTGAAATGGATGTAGAGCCAGCTGCTAGTCAGTATTTTATATTTCAACTAAAATCAACTTAATATTTTTCAGGTACATCAACTGTAACAGATTTTTCCACAACCAGAAGTGGAACACAAATGGACAAGAGAAAAACTGGTAAGGATTATAAGAGCTTTTTCTTAAAGTTTAACCTAATGTACAGGGCCCAGAAAGCATACAATAGCCAATGATGAGGGAGAAACTGGAAAAAAGAACTCAGCCTCAAAAGATGAACGTCCTAATGGATGGATCTGGCAGTTGGGAAAATTAACAAAAATGTCAGACACTGAACTTGAGGAATGGTCACAGGAAGGTATCTATTCAATTATTTGTTTTTAGATAAGAAATACTTAAATATTTATTTAGGGGATCGTGTTCAATGGTTTAGAGCTGAGGCAGAAATGCTTCGGTGGAGGGAACAAGTTGAACAAAAAATAGCAGAACTTCTTCGTGTCCGCCGGAGCTTTTTGAAAATGGAGGACACTTGGATGCAATTAGCCAAGTCCGTAACATATCCTGGACACTGTGCATATGCAAAACAGAAAGCTGCTATGTACCAACAGATGGCCCAGGATACAGAGGTGTATATCAAAAAGGCTGGACATGATGATCTGCTTCAGGAAGATGCTAATTTGGTTCAATGGGTCCAAGCCAAGAGAGCAAAAGAGGATGACTTTTTTACTACAGCAGTAAATAAGTAGTTATCAGTTGTAGCAAGTATCATAACCCAGCAGTAAGACAGCAAAGTGCTTGCTAATTAGTTTTATTTGTGGTTAAATGACATAGCTGTCAAAGAAAATGCTATGTAGTGCGATTTTAAAGTTAATAAACATCCTACGTAGTCAGCTGATAGGTGGTGCACATTGTATAACTTTTATATCTTCTTGGACTTGTGGTTCATAGTATGTGTTTGGTTGATGGTTGTGGGTTCGACTCCCAGTGGTGTCACTTTTGTGGTCCCACTTCGGTTGTTCAGCACTGTGTTTAACCTTGTTTAACTTGAACAGGTTAAACCTGATTTACCATCATCATGCCTGTTGGCTTAACAATCCTTGTAGGATTTATCTACTGACTGGCACGGTCCACAGCCGCCGACTCCCGAGGCAGGAAGCCAAGCCACAGGCATTCAGCAGCCCGTCCGCTGCCGGTCGTGGTGGCGGCAGAGAGTTTCTAGTGGGCCATTTTTGGTAAGCAGAACTGGCGATGCGGGATGAACCGAACGCGAGGTTAAGGTGCCGGAATTCACGCTCATCAGACACCACAAAAGGTGTTAGTTCATCTAGACAGCAGGACGGTGGCCATGGAAGTCGGAATCCGCTAAGGAGTGTGTAACAACTCACTTGCCGAATGAACTAGCCCTGAAAATGGATGGCGCTTAAGCGTGATACCCATACCTCGCCGTTAACGTTTAAGTGATGCGTTAACGAGTAGGCAGTCCCGTCGCCCGGGTTTGACACATGAGTTATCGATCTTTGGCCTATCTTTTGCCAGTCGCTGGAACTTGAAGAGGGACTTTGCTCCCAGCAAGGTCCGGCGCCAGTTTCTCCAAGCCAGAAGGTGCGAGGACACCCTGTACACGTCTGCGGCAGTCCGTATTCCCTTCGCTCCTCTTCATAACGTCGTCTGCACCGTTTTCGCCAGCCGAAATAAACGAGGGCCGCCCCCGCTATCCCTTCGCACGGGCGTTCGACTCATGTTCTATGAAAATCCGCGGCATTCCTTTTTGCGCGGAAGTACGGGGCAGAAGTACTTGCCATCATAGTATACCGATACTTACTTACCTTGTCTTCACTATTACCTATAGGCAAAGACATTCCGAGTCGCTCCCCGATAAATTAGCCGCGGCTTCAAGTGTTCTACAGTGTACACACGTACATCGCCTAGTAGTATATATAACATAATGTCCAGTCCGCGCACAGCGATATAGGTAGTGGGTACAGTACAAAGCAGATAGGACAACGATACGCGTAGGACGATATGGTGCCAGTGGAGTCTAATATCTACCGTAATCAGGCAAATCGAAAGAAAAGGCGACATTTATAAAACAGAGCGGAAACACTCACCACTCACGCAGTCGACGCCCGCCCCAGTGGCGGGCGCGGCAGCGGCCTAACCGTCCCCACCGCCCCCGCGGCCGCCACCGGCATCTCCGCCGGTTCCTCGACGATCGCCTCGCCCACAATCGACATCCCCCCACCAACACCGGACCCGGTGCCCGCGCTGAAGAACGAGCTGCTCCCCGTGGCCGTGCTAGCGTTGCTGCTCGTCGTCGACCCGCGCCTCAGCGTCGGACTCTCCCGCTCCCCCTCCCGCTCTGCCCCCGCCGGCCCCGGCGTCATAGCCAGCGGCAGCCCCAGCCCCGCCGGCCGCGTCACCGGCGTCCCCGGCGCGCTCCCCGGGCGCGAGCCAAAGCTCATGCTCAGACTCGGCCTCCTCCCCCCAAAGTGTCCGTGCTCGCTCCAGCTGGCGAGGGAGGCGCTCGCCGTCGGCGTCCCCGGCGCGCTGCTGCCCACCTCGCGCGAGCCGAGGCTCTCGATCGTGGGCATGCGGCGCACGTACGCGTTCAGGATCAGCACGCGGTCCGGCGCCGGCTGTGCACGGGCGCTGGGGCCGGCTGGGAAGGCGGGGGGCGTACGAGGCAGAAAAAGCAGAGGCGGAGGATGCGGGCGGGAGCACGGACCCCGCGGCGGTGTCCCTTCCGACCTGCGACACGAGGCTGCGGAAGCGGTCGACGAAGCTGGTCAGCTCGCGGTCTGGCGCTGGGGGCAGGTCGGCGTACGGGTCGAATTCGTCCTCGCCATCCGAGCCGGACGACGACGACGACGCGGAGGACGACGAGTAGGAGATCGTGGTGAGTGTGGAGCCGTGGTGGCGCGAGCGTGAGCGGGAGCGGGAGCGGGTTTGGCTATTCGACTGAGATTGTGACCGATCCCTTGTGCGCCGGAGGGAACGGCGTTCCGGCGCCGGCGTCAGCGGTGGACCAGGCCCGTTCCGCAGCGTGGACGAGGCAGAGGGAAGCGAGCGGTGCGAGGCCGCGCTCGACTCGGCGGAGGGCCGGCGGGTGTGGGAGTACGCCGTCAGTGCGACGACGTATACGATCTAAGCGCCATCAGCGAACGGCGGGGGGGAAAAGATGTTGAGCGCACCAGGACGATGAGCGTCAACACCAGCCGCAGCAGCGCGAGTATCAGCCAGTGCACCCACGGCGGCGGCGCACACTCCTTCCTCTCTTGGACGGACCACACGACGTCCACATCGAGCTTGCAGCGGACAGAGAGCGCGAGCGAGGCGCTGCCGGCGCGCCGCCAGACGAGGGCGAGGACGAGGTTGGCCACGGCGGGCGCGAGGAGCAGGGCCGCGGCGAAGTAGCGCAGGCCGCGGCGGACGGCGCGGACGGTGGGGACGGTGGGGGTGCGCCGCCCGAGGAGATGCGTCTCGATGAGCGGAAGGAGCGCGGTGGCAAGCAGGAGCGCCAGCGCCGCTAAACTAACCGCGGCCAGGGCTAGGGCGGCGCCTTCTGCCGCGGGGGAAGCGGCGGGGATGTGCCCGTAGGCGACGAAGTATCGTGTGGTACAGTACACCGTCCACACGCCTAGCCCGCCCATCAGCAGTGCGGCGATAAGCAGAATAAAGCCCACGCACCCAGGACGCCCTCCGCCCCAACGACCGCCCTCTTCTCCCTCTTCAACCGCCGCCGGATCCCGCGCTCCGCCATCTCCTTCCGCTCGCGCCCCGTCATCGGGTCCCCGTCGAAGCTCAGCCCCGGCGGCGGTCCTGCACCCCGGACACTCGGGTGTCGTGGCTGCCGCGCAAGCAGGTCGAGGTACGCCACGTCCGCCGACGACGCCGGGCGGAGCAGCGGCTGTGTCGGGTGCGAAGCCTCCGAGAAGCCCGCGAGCGTCGACGCGCTCGTCGTCCGGCCATGACTCAGACTCTGGCTGTGCCTGGGCCCGTAGTCGCTGGAGGGGATGTGTGTATGCTGCACGGACGGCGGCGGGCTCTCGGGGTCCGGCACCCACAGCGAGTTGTGCAGGAACAGCGCGGCCATCGGCGCATCCGCTTCTGCTGTGACCTGTCTTTTGTCCTTGTCCTTTTCCTTAGCGTTAGCTGGCGCGGACGGGCGCTGCTGGTGGTGGTGGTGGTGGTGGTGGGAGGGAAAGGAAGGAAGACGCCGATCGGGCGCTGGGCGCTTAGCCTAGCGATGACGCGTAGGCTAGGCCAGGCCCATCACGTAACGTAACGTGACGCCTGTCAGCCTGCCAGATACAGCCAACCGCCACCGTCAGGCGTCCCCGGGCGGCGAGCCTGGCTCTAGAGCTATGTACTTGAGCGCCACACTCAGCCAGAGCTGTGTTCTAATTTCTCTCACCACTCACCTAGCAGACGACCTGTACCCGCCCTATACGGACGAGCGCCCGGGGGCTGTGCCGGCGCTTCGACGGCCTATGATCGGAAGCCATGTTGATCGTGAAACGGCGATCGCCCGACGTCGGCCGCACAGCAGGCGCGTTCCCGTCCCTCTGTGGTTGGGACCTGGCCCACTGCCCCTCGTCTGCCCACCTTGCTCAACACTCCGACCCATCGGACGCCCGGACCGCGCGCCGCTCCGCCGTCACCTATCAATCAGCACACCCGCGCCGCCCCGATCGATCGCGGGATTCGCATGATGCGTTCGCGCGGAAGGAAAGGGTCGTCGGCGTGGCGACGCGCTCTAGGCTTCACGTCAGCGCGGCTCCTTCCGCCTGGGCGGGCATCAGCCGCATTGGGCGCACGGTAGTCTTTACCCCCAGTAATTAGCAGGAAATGTGATGCAATGTGGGTCTCTATTTTCATGACACTATGCTTTTTGGGCTAAGTTCTTGATACAATTTGCATATTATAGCTGTTGCAAACGGTAAAACCCATGATTTACAGAGTTTTGCATGTTTTCTAAAATAAATGATGGTGACTGACAATATCATCAACAACATCAACCAAATTTCCAGAGTCAAAAATTACTGAGTTTGTATAGATTCTGAGCTGCAGATACATTTATATATGCTGTAGCTCCACCTCCCTGCTGTATACCAGCCTGAAATTCTCAAAATACCAAAGATATGCTAGGTTTAAGCTCTAGACGAAATTTGATAGCATGGGACAGGGCCTCAGAGAACCCATAGTGCAATGGGCTGATAGAACCGGCCACTTAAGACCAGACTCTCATGACGGGTTCCCTTTGAGGGTGTCGCGAGAGTCTACGTACCGAGACTATATGAATTCTATCATCCTGCCAGTGCCAAGTAAGCTACCTGAAATTTGTCCAATTTACTCACTATTACTTTGGTCTGACATGTCAATTACACCTGTGCAGCCCAGTACCCACCCTGGGTGGACCCGACAATTCACGGCTGTTTTTTTCTCCACCATAGTAATGAATAATTATTGAAAAGCGAAATGAATAATTTCAACTTTCAAGGTTTTTTCACTCTAAGTCCATAGAGGTATGAAGAATTATGAATAATTTTGACATGGTAAGACTCAGATATCAAGATGTGACACTGGTATGTGATGTCACGAAGAGGCTATCATCCAAGTATACAATGTTATGAATAATAATGAATAATTCAAGCCTCTAGAGACTTGGGTTGGACTCAGCGCCCAAGTCACGCTGTTACATGTGTCATATAGGGTGACAGATGTCCCAAAAAGGAAGTTTTCGCCGTTTGACTGTACAATCATCAGGGAATGTCACAGATCGTCACAAATTAAAGTTGTGTATTTTGACTATATAAACAACTTTCATTAAGTGACCTATAGTTGCAGCTGAATAATTGTGCTGGCATTAACCAATGATTGGCTGATCTACATCTATTACAGTAATATATCACTGAGTAGATAACCTATAAAGGTGATTGAAGCACTACCAAGGGTGCCTAAGTAATAAGATCAATATCCTGGACAATCAAATGTCATTAGTATAGCCATATCATCTGATGATGATTCATCACCTACATTGATGCTGCAGTATCTCTACCAATCCTGCATCAAGTCAGATGATTCTTGTACTGGTAGGTAGATCATAACCTAGTGTTCATATGATCTGATGTGATCATGGTCTTATATCTTGAGACTATGATATTACACCGTTTTTCTCTAGTTTTCATGTGTCAAATTTAATCAAACTCAATGATTACTTGATATCTCACTGGGAAATCCATGGATAAGCATGATCGAAGTTGTGCTCTGTTATAATAGATGTCCATCATAGATATAGCAGCTCCCCATAACTTTAGGTATCATATCTACCTCTATATATGACATATATCTTATTGCACCGATATCCCAATAACTGTAAGGGCAACCTCGCGAGGCTCGAAATCAGAGTCCTGAGCAGAGGGGGAATCCTTGGTGAACTACTACAACAGGAAGGGACGCTACAGACTCACCTGAGCAGAGGGGGAATCCTTAGAGAACAAGCCAAGGAGCCCTCTGCCCAGGTGCACTACTATATACCAGTGACCGGAGTAATGATAGAGTGACTGCATAGCGACGGATGACGGATGGGAGAAGTCAGGCGTCGCTAATGGACCCTAGGTGAGTGTCGAGTAGCCCTTGAAGCTCCGGAGAGGCAGGTTTGGGACCGTGATGCCAAGGGAGGGGCCCAGGCATCCCTAGAAGGCCTAAGAAGGGCTTCGGGAGGTCCAGGCTGCCTCTGGGCGTCTCCGCTTGTGACCGTGACCGTGACAACCGGAATCGGAATCGGAATCGACTCCGGGTGTGTGACTGTGACGTGACGGCCGGAAACGGAGAGGGAAGGCGTGGAGCGGAAAGGGAAGGAGTCTGGTCTAGCCCAAGGGCCGGGGAGTGTCGAAGAGGACCAATGGGAATGGCGGCCAGCCATGACCACTGGAGGGTAGCGACAAGGGGTCACTCGGAGACGCTCCCCGGACGTCTCCAGAGAGGTGGAGGTGTGAGGGCGTGCAGCCTGGGGCGCTGCGGTAGGCACGAGCCTTAACGGCAGTAGGCCTCACCCAGGGGAAGGCCCGATGACGGGGGCCGTGGTGGCGGAGTGGAGAGCGGAGCCATGGCAAGGCTCAGCCATCCGAACATAAGCCCGAACGCTGACATGGGTTGGGGAGACCCAAGAGGTCCAGCAGGTAGAGATCGTAGGGAGACCTTGATAAGTGACAGCCCAGAGAGGCTAGAAGGCCATAGGCTCAAGGTCTCGGAGGGAAGTGGTGCGTCCACATCCGGAGAGGTCTCCGATGGCATTAGTGATCCCTGATGGTGACTCCGCCGGCGGAGAGACTCCCGGAAAGGGGTGGCCAGGGAAGTCGAAGACTGAGGATCACTGGATGTGGGATGTGGTGCAGGCAGTGGAGGGAGAGCGTCAGGGTGCAGAGACGCGGAGACACGAGCGGAGACGCGGAGACGCGAGCGGAGACGCGGCGCTTGATGGGATCAAGTGACGGCATCAGGGTTTCCCCTGACAATAACTCACTTAGAAGTGAGGGATCCCCAATGGTATAAGGGTAGGAAACAAGCCGAGGGGTCCCCCTATAAGATTTAATTTCCCACACCATATTATATGGATGGAAAATCTTGTTATTCACTATTATAATAATGAATAGTACTGCACATCATATTGGTAATACAGATGTAATCTGCTAGTTGATGATGGATCAAATATGTAAAACTTGGCAAATGAAGTGTATAAATCTACCTACATACTCTGATCGATCTCTATATTCTTAGAGATTGAATTGGGGTGAATATTCTGAGATGAGTTGAGTGCAGAACTAGTTTACATGAATAGTGGGGTCTATAGACTGAGCACTGGATGTTTGGATGCATGTATGGGGGTATTTGGATGTCTACTCAGACTCTGTACTATAATTAGTTGTGGTTCCATAGAGCAAAAGAAAGTGTCTTCGCTATTACAACTGGTCAGAAAATAATTTCAAGTATGATCTAAGACATGAATGTAGGATTGTATGGACCCCTAAATGAACCTGTCCAGCACTTGAATTAACCTCATAGCTATTCTGGATCTCTCACAGTACCATTATCAGTGTTATCTAACCCAAAAATGATGAGTTCACCATAGTATGGCCTTTGCAAATCTCATTGATTTGAGCACATCTACAGGTAGGGGTCTCATGCACCTCCCAGAAAATGGTGCCCTTGGGCTTTCAGCTTATCTCCATCCTAGAATATATAGCACCCAAGGTATCAGGGAATTGACTGATCCTCACAGTTGCTGTGTGGTTACAAATGGATAGAGATGTGGTGGACTATACTATGGTTCCATATCAACTTGGATCATGAGATTCCATGCATGTAGTCCCAAGATATCAGCAAAATACTGCTCCACTTAGTATTTAGGTATTCTTGGGAGTGAATAAATGAAGGTAATGATGAGGAAAAACATAGCTGATGAGGCTCAAAAGATAGTAGAATGGTATATCTTTCCAATGAACTATGTCCCAGCTTTATCCACCAAGGCTACCTAGCAATATATGCTTATCTTTCAGAGGTGATGGAGATCAAAGGCCACTGATAAATGAATGCATTACATTCTTGGTGCCATATTCACTAGGACTTCGGAGCATACATACCAGAGCTTTATGTTAGAGTAGCCAAACTTGCAAGTTGGTCACCTGACATTTTTAAAGTACTAAATATTCAATTTTTCATAACTGAATAGTCGATATTGCCATCATATCAAATGATAGTAATCCAAATACCTCATGAATCAATAGTGCTTTTGAGACCCTTCCTGCTAGTACTTGATTCATGCTTTTAGCTCAAGCAGGTATGGATATAGAGGCCTATCAGTCATACATGAGCTAGTGATGGGTCAGTGCTAACATACTTATTGAGCTGCTGCCATAGGTTACTTAATGAAAGTTGTTTATATAGTCAAAACACACAACTTTGATTTTGTGACAATGTGTGACACTTTCTGATGGTCATACAGTCAAACGGCGGAAATTTCCTTTTTGGGAGATATGTCACACCTGTGACCTCGTATGACAGTGTGTAACAGCATGTCCGGAAGCTGAAAGATTATCAATATATATATAGTATAATATAGATGAGTATAACAAGCCTGTAGATGTCACATACCAGTGTCACATCTTGTTGTTCGAGTCCTATAGCACCAGAATTATTCATAAT